CTGCCAGGAAGCCTTGGTCCTGGGTGAGACAGTAAGAGGCAGAGGGATCTCCTGCTGTCCTGCACCAGGATACTGGAGACCAGCTCCTGTGTGTCCTGGCTGCCCTGCAAGTAATGTTGGTGCTGCAAGGAAAGGAGGGAAACTCACAGTCACCAAAAGACTTGCTTGAGCTATTCAGGAATTTTCTTTGGCTGTTAGCAGTCCTGTGCTCTTGCCACATGGCATTTTTCCTTCCAGGCAGTGCTGGACAATGGCTGTGAATGCATGGGCAGCTTATTGTTTGGCTGAGTATGTTGCTTTCATATGGGCACTTGAACTAAAAGGGTAAATCCTTTGAACTGTGGCGTTTTCAAGAGCGCGGCACATTAGCGGGGAAGGAGGGTGGGCAGATGAGAAGAGCTGTTGTATTTAATATTGCTGCCACAGTAGTACACTGCAGCACTGCCAGGACTTTGGGCGTAGCCAGTCTGACATGGGAAACATTGTTCAGTGCTGTTGCCTGGCTGCCGCTTGGAGCTGCAGCTCTGTGCTGTCTGCTTGGTGCTGAGGGTTGGAGTCAGACCCAGCCACTGCTGCTCATCCACTTGGAGAGGCACCGATCCCACCCCGGTGGGTTTGGTTCTGCCTGGACAGCACTCAGTTTGCTTCAGCACTGGTGGCAGTTTGTGAAATTGCAACAGCAGGATCTGCTGAGCTCAGACCTGCAAACAGAGCCAAGAGTCTCTCTGGCTTTGGATAAAACTTTGCTGTGGTTACATGGATCATGTGATGGCGCAGCTGATCTTTCCAGCATTCGGTGCTCTTGCTTTAGGCTTCCTCAGCTGTGCAAAGAGTTCAAAAATTGTCCCCTTGTATAACTGCTACTTATTGATACTAGGACAACAACTTCCAGGAGTTGTTGAGGAAACTCCTCTGCCTGCATTCCTGTTTATCAGAGACTCCTTCTCCGCATGCCAGCCCATCCACAAAGCCTTCAACATCCTCAGCTGTGGGATTTCTGAACAGATGCAGCTCCTCCCTGCAGCACAGTGGCTCCCTTCCCTGCTCAGGACAGCGTGCCACGTCGGTCAGTTCCTCAAGAGCTTTGGCTGCCAGAATCGAGTGAGTTAAATCAGGTCTAAGCTGTACTCTGAGTCCTCTTCAAGACATGTTGACAGAGAAATGTATGCCTTGAAACAACTTGAAAAGAAGAACTGTAGGGAGGGAAGAGAGTAGGAAAAGGCATCGGCTGTGAGCGGCTGCCCTCTCCTGAGATCTCTCCCCCTGCGAAGAGTGCAGCCCTGGCTCCTCTGTGACCTCTTTCTTCCTGCAGGGTAATGAAAGTCAGCACGCTGTAATGGCAGGCTGAAAGTCAGCTGCTCTGCCACAGGGTTTGTCCTCCGGATAGATGAAAGGAAAGTGGTTTGGTGTCCAAACGACTGTCACAGCTTTAAAGAAGAATTAAAGCCAGATGTTTCCAACCAGCCTGCTGAGAACAGCCTTTTCTGACATATTTGCCAAGCCATCAAGGAGACCCAGCCAGTGTCTGCAGTGCTGCATGTTGGGAAAACGCTGTGATCCCAAAAGCTGTGCTGCAGTTGCTGGAGCACCCAGGCTGTCCAGAATGAGTGCATCCACAGGGCTGGGACACAGTGCTGCCAGTGTTTGTGCACCATGTATCAGTATTTACTCCTCACTGATAATGGAGATGATAGCAAGATCGTAGTGAACACATCAAATTCAACACTTTTTGCCTTGGGAAAAGGTATTGTAGGTATTGAAGGTATTGTAACTGGGCTGGCATCAGCTCTCAGGTTGGTGGCTTGTAATGGTCAATAGAGTCCAGAAAGTCATCCCTGTCCCTGGCTGTGCTTGGGCTGATGTTCAGTGTAACAGGCAGACAGAGCTTTGCCACAGTGGGATCCCATCAGAACAAGGAAGAATGCATTTTAGTCTCTCCTCACACACACAGCGTTTGTATTCAGCTGCAACTGAAGCCAGTGACTGTTCCTGTGTGGGTAGAAGTGAGGTGAAAGCTGAGGAACAGGGAAACGGGATCCTTGCCTCGCTGTAATCAGGGAGAGATCTGCACTTCCCACTTTGCTGGGAGTAACCCAGACCTCAGGACTGCTGGGTGTGTGGTTCCAGCTCACACCCAGAGGTAATTAATCTTTTTGCCAGCGTAGCTGCTCCAGGCTTCTGACTACAATAAGTATTGCTCTTTGCCTTTGTCAGCCTGCCTTGCGGTTACAGCGTTCACCTTCTGGCCTCTTCAGGATAAATTCCTGATGCTGTGCCCTCAGCGCTGCTTTGAGGTGGAGTTTCCTCTTGCGAAATCAGTGGGCGCTGGAAATGTCCTCTTGGCTCCAGTGCCTGGGAAAGGTTTTGCTCAGTGTTCTATGGGGATGTGTCGCAGCCTCCTCTTCCTCCTGCCAGCATGTTTCCTCCTCTGGAGCAGCAGATGAGGTGCTCCTGAGATGCCATGTGCCACCGGATCACTGTCTGTAGCAGGGAAGTAAATGATAAATTCAGAAGGTGCAAAAATAAATGGAGAAGAGGAAAGATAGGATGCAGAAAATCCCAGTTTTTACTGGCATCCACTCATAATCAGATAATTTGACCAATAACGAAAAATAAACCCCTCTCTCTTCTGACTCTACAAAGCCGAGCCATAAAAAGGAGCTTTCTTCCGTGCCCTTCATTTGTTCTCACAATACAACATCTCATTTCAGCGTGTGCATCAATTCATTCTGCTCCGCCACATCACGGACAGAGGCACGATTGTTTCTGCTGCGATTCCAAAACCAACTGTGCAGAGAAAGCCTTTGGGAGCTGCTTGGTGAGGCGGGCATTGGGCTGCTGGCACTCTGGGTGGAGCTCAGGGAAAGCTGTCGGCCTCACCACCCTCCTGTAAGTTAACAGAAGACGGTGACTAACAGGAAGGAAACCGGACTGTGGTGTAAACACAAACTTGTTTCTCTTTGCCTTTCAGATGGGTATTAAATGTTATCTGATTATAGCTTGTTTCTTGAAATGTCCCATCTGATTTGCTCCGTCAGAAGACAAACAATTGTTGTTGCAAAATGAATTATTTAGTAGCTCTATAGACTGGGTCTGTTTTTCTGCCCTGTCTGCACTTCAACCCCAACGAGGCTGTAAGTGAGTAAGGGCTCTGCCAGTAGTGGAAATGTTTTGGCCAACAGCTGACCAACGACTTTACCAGTGTGATTAAATGGGGGAGATCCTGCAGGAGCAAAGAACAACTGGGGCCTCCCTCAGCTCCTGTGGGATTTCCAGAGCTCAGTAGGTCTGAACACGAGGCTCAGAACAATTCTGTGCTATGATTTCCCTATTGCTGTGATATTGCAATGGGTACGCTAAAAATGAATGAGCAGATTCTGAAGATAAAGAGGCCTGTAAAAAGGGGATAATGCTTAATTACTTCACAGGAGGGTAAAAGGATTAATGAAATAATGTTTGCAAAGTGCTTTGAAGATGAAATGTGCTAAGTCTGATTATATCTGGGTGAGGGATAAGAACGAAAAGGAGGCGATCAATTCCATCCTGTAGCCCCCAGAAACAATAAATAACGATCTGAAGGGATTTGTTCTGCCATGCCAGTTTGGATCCCCTGGCTGAAGGTGCACTTTCAGAACAGATTCTGCTGTCGGGAAATGGGCACTTTTCATTTCTTCTGCCCAGAGTTATTTATTCTGCTCCTTCTGCATCATTTTGCTTTTCTTTCTCATTTAGGTGCATCTCAGATGTGCCGCTCAGTGAGATGCCTGTGGGATCTGCCATCTGGGCCATCAATTTGAGGCACAGCTTGTGCCACCACCTCTAATCTCTTCAATGGACTTCGATTACCTCTCTGGCTCAAACTCATGCGATTTGCTGGGCTGTAATTGCACGTAATGGTGTTAAGTGGGGCCGGGGTTCCCCCACAGGGCATGAGGCACTGCCATGGATCTGCATCCTTCACCCACGCTGAGCCCACTGCAGGGCTGCGATTCTTTAATGGAATATTTCTAGATCACCTTCCCTGAGATTTGATGCAGTAACTTTGGGGCAGTCTCTGTTGCTTTGAGGAGTCTTGGAGTTGCTTTCCATGCAGGAATCCCCTCGGTGGTGTCACTGCTGCTGGGTCCGTGCGAGCAGTGAGTGGAAGAGTGCAATCGTTGTTCTCACGAACCACAGAATCGTTAAGGTTGGAGAAGGCCTCTATGGTCATCCAGTCCAACTCCAACCCACCCCACCATGCCCATAACCACGTCCCTCCGTGCCACATCTCCATGGTTCCTGAACCCCTCCAGGGATGCTGACTCCATCACTCTCTGGGCAGCTGTGCCACTGCATCTCCACTCTTTTGGAGAAGGAATTTTTCCTACTGTCCACCCTGATGCCTCCAACAGCGGAGATTTGTCCCTTCCTGTCAGTCAGACACTTGTCTCCAACGTGAGAGTATCTCCAATGTGAATCCACCATGTGGTGCACAGAGTAAGAGACTGAAGTTCCAGTGGGCTCAGCTGAGCCCTTCCCACGTGGATGAGGTGACACTGGGTGCACAGTGGTGGATTTGTGCCATTTCTGTATCAGCGCCATCTGGATGAAATCCTGAGGTGGCCGAAGACCTCTCCTCGTCTCCGTGCGCTCCCCCAGTCGTGGGAGCCCCGGTTCGTTCCCCTGACGAAGGGCTGAGGGCGAGGGATCAGAATTTGGGCTTATTTCCGTCAAACAAAGCGCCAGGACCACGCTTGGCGCCCGGCTCCGGCTCAGCGACCTCCAGTCCGCAGGGGGGCGCTGCCTCCCTCCGTGCACCGTGCGCTCCATCCCCGGCGGGACGCACGTTTCCTTCCCGCCCCGCACGGGGTTGGGCCGCTCCGGCTCCGCCTTCGGCCCGGAAGCGATCCCTCGCGCCCCGGAAGTAGGCGGCGGGCGGCGGAGGGAGACGGGGGCCGGGCCTGGCGGTAGCAGCCGGAGGCGGAGCCCGGGTGTCCTCGGCGCTGGCGCGGCCGCCGCCGGGCAGCGGGGAGCGCGGCGCGGATCCCAGATCCGCCGGCCGGAGCGCGGGGGACGCGATGCTGCTGTTCGTGGAGGTGAGGCGCGGCGCCGGGCCGGGCCATGTGGCGGGGAGGCCGCGCATGCCGCGCCGCGCCGGGGGGAGGGGAAGGGGCTGACACAGCAAATCCGGGGCCGGGGGGCGCGGGGCGCCGGGCGGGGAGGAGAGGAGGGGGTCGGCGATCTGGAACGTTCCGGCGGGGCCTCCGCGTGCAGGCGGCGGGGGCGGTGAAAGGCACCGCGGTGACCTTCGGGGAGCGGCGGCGCTGGGCCCGCCCTGAAGGTGACGCGCTGCGCGGGGCCTCGCACCGGGAGCGGCCTCACGGCGGGCCGGGGGTCCTTCCGTTAAACTGTGAGCGGCCGCAGCGCAGCGCAGAGGCCCCGCAACGCTCGGCCGCGAATCGCGGCGCTCCCAGCCGGGCTGCACGCCGCGCCGCGTGCGCTCAGCGCGGTTTCCGAAGGCGGCTCCGGGTGCGACTGCGCCGCTCGGCGTTGAGAGCGTCCGGAGCGAGCGGCTGCGGTAATGGGACGGGAGCGAGGAAAGCGAATCGATCCGTAAAGGCGTGTTGTGCTCCCTTGGGAACTCTGATGCGTTCTGCATTGAAGAAAGTGTGAATCAAAGTCTTTGGGAACCCTCCGTTAAGGTGATTGCTTCGGTTCTGCAGCTCGAGTTTTATGGAAGGGAGGGAAGGGGAAAGGCTGTGCAGACATAGGCAAATTGCGAGAGTTGGGTTTTGCAGTATGGCAGCTGAGGAGGGGCTGTTGAAGCTCATGAGCAGTGCTGAGCTGAGTGTGGAGGATCTGTGCTCCCATTGGGCTCAGAGCCGTGTGGGTGTGCAGTGAATCCCACAAAGACACACACCGTATTTTTGTTGTTTTCTTTGATCTTCCTTCCTTTTTGTCGATAAGCATTGTTAGTTTCTGCCATCTTCGTTCAGGAACCATCAGTGATGATCTCAGGAGCTCCAAATCAAACACATCTGACCTTGTGAAGGCACTTCCCCTCCAATGTGAGCTCAGAGCTGGCTGTTCTGAATCGCCGGAGTGCAGCACACTGAAGCAGAGCCCTGCTTCACCTCTGGTTCTGTGGGGCTGCCTGGAAAACACTGCAGAGAAGGGTTGTGCTGGAAGTCGTGGAGCTTTTGGGAGGATTAATTAGCTCACCGACTTTAGCTGTCAGTGCTGTATTTTTAGGCTTAGCTGAGGTGTGCACGTGCTGATTGCAAATTGATTTCTTCACCGTGTGCAGCTCTGTTTGCTCTGAAAGTCTCTTAGCTCAGAAAACTTGCTGAGCTGAGGTAGTGGTGTGAAGCTCGTTTTTCACATGCTAATATTTGGGATAGATGTTTTTTGCTTGCAGCCGTGGCAAGTACACTGTTAGAATTTGATGATTTATTGGAAACTTTTGAAATCTATGCATTCAGGATGGCTGAAATGCTGCCCTAATTGCTGTCAGTGGTGCTTTTCGGTGAGAAAACCAGGACTGTGAGTACTGAGATGGCTGACACAGTTCCCACAGAAGCCATTGGCTCAGGTGGGGGCGGCACCGTCTCACTGTGCCTTTGCTTTACGGAGGGCTACAGGAGGAGCTCCCACTGTGCAGTGCGAAAACATCAGCATTCAGTGGTTGTCCTGTGATCACTGCTGCGTGTTTTGAGAACTAGTGGGGATGTTTGAGGAGCTGAGCTGTTACTATGGGATGTCCTGCAGGCAAATCAGGCGTTCTGTGTGTGTGACAGCAGTGCTCCTCGGTTTGCCTCTCAGCCTGGCTGAGCTTTCAGAAGGCCATGGATGACAGCACGTGTCTGCGTCCCTGCAGGTGTTTCCTCATCAGCATTCATAAGGTTTCTCTTTGTTAATCTCCCATAGATTTGCCGACTTATTAATCTTTAATTATTATTATTTTCCTCTGTTTATGTTTTCCCTTCTGGAAAACGTTTGCCTTCTCACATCGCAAGTTTTAATGAATTCTCTTTTAGATTTTTCACCCAGATGCTCTTTTAGGGTCTCAGTTTGCTCCATGGAGTTTGTCCAAACTCAGTGTTAAGATTTTGCGGGATTAAAATATGCTGTAAAAGAAGCTGTCCTTTCATTTTTGTAGGCTCACTTGTATCTGTGCAAGGTAACATAGACAAATAGAATAAAAGGCAGTGTTCTTTACCATCTTCTCAAGAGGAGAGATGCTTCAGTGACCAACAGGGAGGAATTTCTGGAGGGGAATCTTTGACCACATTTGCTGAAGGTGATGTGAGGTGGGGGAGGCTCAGCTGAGAGCTTTGTCAGCTCGTGGATGCCAGCGAGTGTTCCTAACCTTTGTATCTCTGTAAAGCTTTAACCTCATCATGAAAGTTCCCGATAGCAGCAGGGAGGGTTGTTCAGCAGCCAATGGAAAGGCCTGGTGTTTGTTCACCTCCCCTAAAGAAGCAGGAATCGGTGTTTTGGCCTCCTCTCCCATAGAACCACTTGCCAGAACAGCAGCACAGCTCTGGGAGCACAGCTTGTGCTATTCTCTGAAGGCTGATGTAAATGAGGGACTTTTTGTCTGCTCAGAGCTCGTGGTGTCTTGCTATTAAGCTGCGTGACATCAGGGCTGGGTCTTCCAGAGCTACATTATGTGTCATTAAATGCACTGCAACAAAGAGGAAGTAGCCCACGCTCTGTTTCAGGAGTGTATTTCAGATGCTGTATTAATAGGCCCATTCATTTCTCGATCAGTCTGAATCTGTTCAGTTTCTTACTTACTTTTCTCTGGCACCTGTGATTTCGGAACTTGCCATTATAACATGTGTGGCTTCCAGGATGTGCTGCAGTAACTCAGACTTACCCAGGGCTGCTTTTCAGTTCTGATCTGCTTCAGAGGTGCAGTGATATCCCTGAAGTCTTTCAGTTTCACTTTATCATATTTGCACATTACAATTATTTTCATCTTGAGCTGAGTTTCTACCTGTAAGAGAGGTAGCGTTTGCGTGTAATGAATCATCTCCTGGATGCGCGTTGGTGTTTGGTTTTACATTTGATGAAAAGTGAATTGAAGGAAATGCGATGTTAGCTTTCCGAAGCAGATCCCTCTGCTGCCACAGTGCTGCATCACAGAGGGACCGAGGGTGGGCAGAGCACAGTTCAGAGTTTGCTGAATTGCACTGGGACTGCTGGGAACGCGCCGCAGCTGCGTACTGAGCTTTGGTTCCAGCACCTTGTTGGAGAGGAACTGCTCTGTCCCTTCACACTGCACTACTGCTGCTTCTCCTTTCTGTTTCCAGCCACATCCTTCTGCTAACATTCACAAAGCCCCATTGCAGCGTGGACTGAATTCACTGTGCCTAGAAGCTTTTGAATTCTAAAGGCAGCGTGCAGAAGCTTTCACCTCTGCTTCGCCCTCTGGTGTGTTTGCCTTGAACTTCTCAGCAGTTTGGAGGCTTTTTGTTACTGGGCTTGGAATTGTCCTCGGAGCGACTCAGTGCCACCTTGGCAGAATTTGTCTCTAAAGCTATTGCAGCTGCTTTCTTATCCTCCTTTCTGTTCCAGGCCTGGGAGTAAACCACTCCTTGATTTCAGACTCCTGGAGGCTGGCGGCTGTGATATCAAACTTCCTCATTCATGAATTCATGAGATAAGAGCTGAGATGGGTGGCTTTTGCCTTCTGAATTCAAGCAGGTGCTGTGAATGAAGTGGGCTGTCCATGAAGAGGGAACCAGTTTGGAGGACAGTGTGTTAATTGCTTGGAGGAAATTAGGAATTCTTACTCTAATTGTGGTTCTTGTTGCCCAGTCTTAAAAGCATGGCAGCTCTGTTTCCCCCACCTCCAGGCAGGCTGTGGTGCTGTGTATCCTTACCGTGGGTCTTTGGGAGCATTTATCTCTTTGGTTACAAGTTCACCATCATCCTGCTGACAGCTTTCTTCAAGTCATAGAGACATCAGGTAATGAGGAGTCCTGGCTCAGTGTGGCAAATCTATGGGAGATTAACAAAGAGAAACCTTATGCTTTGCTAGGAAAGATGGCACCAATTAAGTTCAGTAACTTGTTGCTAACTCTTCCTTTTGGAATGTGATGGGCTTTCTTTGTTGTTTTATTTTTTTAACCTTCCTGTCTAGGATAGGTTGTGGAGGGGGGAAATCCCCATTTCTGCTGAAAGGTGACAGGAGGACTGGAAGCTTTTACAAGTTGGAGCTTTTACAAGCAGAGTGCATCGCAGCCATCAGCAGCAGGGGAAGCTGCTGGCTGGTGTCAGTAAAGAAGTTGGAGGCAGCGCTTCATGGAGGCAGAAATAAAATACTTGGGAAATGGAAATGCCAGAGATTTTCCCATTTTGAGTGAGGAAAACTGACGGGGGTGGTTAGCAGCTAGTGGCCACCTTGCATGTGGATCTGTACAGCAAATCAGACAGTTCACCTGTGCCATCAGGCTTGCCTGTTGGAGCATCTGGAGGTTATTTTCCCTCATGGAATTGTTGTGCTCTTTTCAGCAGGTAACATCCAAAGGAGCTGGCCTAAACCCCAACGCCAAGGTGTGGCAGGAGGGTCCCCAGGGCAGCGGCGAGGCGGCGCCGCCAAGCAATGGCGCAGAGCACTCGTGGCACGAACCAGCAGCTGTGGTGGGGACTCAGACTGAGGGTGAGATGAGCCAGCACTGCGTGTTGCTATGGGCTGTGGTGTGTGGGGGCCGAGTAGGAATTGAAGGAGGGATCCGGGGCTCCGCTGTGATGGTGATGGTAGTCGAAGGGCCCGGTGATGACTGTAACGCGCTAAGAGGGGAAACAAGATGCTAAACGTGTAGGAATGGGTTCAAGATGTTTTTTTTGCCATTGCTGCACTTTAGTATAAACTTGACCCTGTGAACAGGAAAATAAGTTCTGAGGGCCGCTTATAATCCTGGAAGATCACCTGGTGTTGCTGAGAACTGTTGCACAGCAGGGCTCTTACTGGAGTAGGAACTACAGAGCAGTTCTTCAAAGTTTTGTGGAGCTTTAAATGCTTTAAATTTCAGCAGAGAGTCTGGGTGGGGGAATCTTACAATTTCAGGACCCTGTTATTTATTGAGGCCTTTTGTGCAATCCAGATCTTTGTGAAAATAGAGAGGTGGGAAGTGCTGTCCTCTGCAACGTAGGCATTGAAAGTCCAAGCCTTGTTATTACTGCATTCTTGAGTATTGTTTTTAATGCTGACGTTCTCAAATGGAAATTATTCTGAAGCTTATAGCTGGTCTTCTGCTGTGGGTGCATTCTTCTGCCAGGTAACGTAGAGATTTCGGAGGACAGCTGCAAGCAATATGAAGTGATGTACTCCACGTCGTGTGAAGCTGCAAGAAATGGCACAGGAATCGATGAAGCAGCTGCCAATGGAATTGTCCTAACAACAGAAGATCTTGGATACCAAATCTATGAAGTGGCCGGTGGGTACTTGATCAATAACACCACTGTCAGTAGCTGTAATTCTGCAGTGCATGCTGCCCTTAAGATAGGACTTGCAACATTAGGAGTGGGGACTTTGGATACACACTGAATGGGAAATGACAAGGAGATCCAGAGCAGCCGTTGCAGTCGGCCAGGTAGATGAAGGCCGTGGGATCAACTCAGCACAACAGGAATGACACAGCCTGCAGTGTGTAGTGCAGTCATCTCTAAATGTGTCTTCTGTGACCTTTTCCTTTGTTACCCTGAGGGATTCATACTTGAATTGTGCAATGAAAAGGGTTCTTGTATTGATGTGAACCTGAGATCTGATGGTGAATGTGATAAATTTCAGGTGAAGGCAACTCCGTTGTGTCCACAGAAGATATTAGAGAATGTTTGAGGAAGCAACTCGAGTTCTGCTTTTCACGGTAAACTTGGCATGAGCTCTTCATTAAAACTGCTAGCAAATACTTAGTTTTGTTTGTTTGATTAACAAACACGTGAGCTGTGGGTGACAGCAGCTGGTTGCAGTACGGAATGAGGTCTGCTGGAATGCTGCAGAAGCGCTGTGGTGCATTTCAGCCCCATCCATGCATCGCTGCCAGGAATGGGAACCCAGGCTGACCTCTGTGCTGTGAGGTGCTGGGATAATTTAGAGAAGAGATGTCTTTGGCAAGATTGCTTTAGCAGAGAAAGCAACACAGAGCATGCTCTAACTTTCATCAAAGTAGTTGTTTTAATCATCTTTTTGTGTTGATCTGCTAAGACACTTTCTAAGGGATGAAATGTGAGTACATTTTGGCTGTGAGTGGTGTTGGTGAGCATTTAAGCCTTGCAGTAAGTATGTTGTTGTAAGGCATCTGTTTAGAAAAGAAATAAAAATTGTGAGATATTTTAATAAAATAATGAATTTGGTTTTTTAGTGAGAATCTTTCAAAGGATCTCTACTTGATGTCCCAAATGGACAGTGATCAGTTTGTTCCAATATGGACAATTGCTAACATGGAAGGTATTAAGAAGCTGACAACTGATATGGACCTTATTGTGGACGTTTTGAGATGTAAGTCTGGGTGTTTGGTAAATGCTGAAGAGAACCTTGTACAGCAAAGAATGCATTTCAGGGCTGTTCCAGACTCCTGAATTCTAGTTATGCCCTGTTATAAATGCCTAAATCTGTCTTAGTGAGAGGCTGCTTTGGGAGAATGTTAGCAGTGATTTGCTGAGAGTGCTCCCAGTTCACTGCTCACTGCAAAGGAGTGACTGGAAGTGATGCTGCTCAGGTGATTTTTGCCTTGTACATTGTCCCATTTTAAGCCAATTTTTGTGTTTTAATTGTAGCTTCTCCTATGGTACAAGTGGATGAGACAGGGGAGAAAGTCAGACCAAACCACAAACGATGTATTATCATTCTCCGTGAGATCCCTGAAACAACACCTGTAGAGGTAAAGAGTTCTATAAGAATGGAGAACTTGGTGTTTTTGGAAGGTTCTTCAGCAGTGCTTCAGGCAGCAGCAGGAAGTGTTGCTTAAAAGGTCAACTGGTGTTTAATTAAGCTCTAAGCTCTTGTAAACCACAGAAGTGATTTTTTTTCTGCCTGTATCTGTTGACTAAAGAAGTCAAACTGAAATGACCTTGTCGCTGTTGTCCCTGTTATTTTCTAATACATAAAAGTGTTCTTAAGTAAACTTTCAGCAAAATGGAGCTAGTGAGGCTTTTCTGGAGGGACCTTTGCACTGATCTCTTTAGATCCAAAAATGAAATCAGCCCAGGACACAGATTGGAGTTCAGGCTGAATTTCTGTCCCAGCGGTGGCTTGACTTGAAGTCAGGCAGTTGTTCTGGCAGCAAGAAATGTTCTTAAACACACACATCTCCCATTCATCGTGACCCAGTGTGAGCTGAGCTCATTATGTTCAGTGAAGGGGGATAATAAAATTCCTACTGATTTTTGGCTAACAGAGTGATTTAGTTCTTTATTTCTTAAAGTTGTAATGTGGGGTGTTTGTCTGCTAGCATGTCCTGTCTGTGAAATACGACTGATTGTTGCAAATGAGGAATATCCCTTAAAATTATTCTTGTATAGATGACTGTCTCAGTGACCTGATTTTTTTGCTGCTACTTTCATACAGAAGTATCACCAGTTTAACTCTGGTATTGTTTTTTTTTTTTATCATGATGGTGATTTTTAATCAGTTGATTCCTCTTTACTTTGGGAGGAGTTTTACTTGGGGAGCTCAGTACGCTGCACTTGTGCTGTTGAGCTCATTAACTGGTAGAGGATAATTTGCTGCTCTGTAAAGGGAATAAAAGAGCATTTCTGATCAGGTGAAACCTGCTGCTGAGGACATCTGGAGCACCATAAGTAGCTGATGTCTTTCTCTCCCCTAGGAGGTAAAGGCTTTGTTTAAAAATGAAAACTGCCCCAAAGTCATAAGCTGTGAGTTTGCTCACAACAACAACTGGTACGTTACATTCCAGTCTGATACAGATGCTCAACAGGTAAGGCTGCCTTCGGCTCTTAATAATACCTCTGTTTTGTTATTGGTGCTTCCCTGCTCGAGAGAATTGCATGTGTGCTGCCCACAGCTAGAAGTATTCTTTGTTTACTGATTCTCCCTCTTGATATTGTAAGAGATTATTTCCAAATTCTGGTTAACGTAGAAGTTAGAAGGCTGTAGGATTTCAGTTCACTTGTCTGCTTGCCACAACTGTGATATCTAACACTTCAAATTCAGGATAACCAGATAAGTTAGCTGAGCTAGCAGGGAAGCACATTAAGTCATATCTCTTAAGTGGTACAATTTCATCAAGGTATTCTAATGTTAATCTCTTCTGTGCAGGCATTTAAGTACTTAAGGGAAGAAGTGAAAACCTTTCAGGGCAAGCCAATAATGGTAAGGCTGTTTCGTAAGGGATTTCAGAATGAAATGTTGTTTCCATTGGGATGACATGGCACATTTGTGGGAGTGGGGAGTTAAGGAATTAGCAGTGGGCTAGATGTAAACTAGAGAAAACCTGCAGTTCTGTAGGCCATTGACTTGAGTGAGCATTGGGAAGTTACCGTTTGGTGCCTGCAGGTTAAGCACAGTGCTGCTTCCAGTGAGGTGTGAAATACGTTTCTGTTTAATCTTCTCCACTTCCCTGGGAATCTGCAGAGCTCAGGAGGGGGACTCCTTCACGAGGCTCTGGTTCCTTAACTGCACTGCAAATAGGGCTGAGGCCCTCTGGTTGTGCTGTGAAAGGAAGTGTCCAAGTTGGGGCCTGGATGGTTGCTGCTGTAGAAAGCAGTGTTACCTTAAACTTCATCTCTAGTTAAAAGTGTGTGTACCCTAATCCTATGCTCCTAAGAGTGTAATCTGATTCATTTTTATCAGTGTTGATTTGTGAAAAGTGATCAGCTTACTTCCTCTTCGTGTCCTTTGTGTTACAATTTCAATGGGCAAGAAAGGTATCATGTTCTACTTCTCATTTCTCCCGAGTAACACGTGGGATGTGATTTGCTATCTTACAGGCCAGGATAAAAGCCATCAACACATTTTTTGCTAAGAATGGTTACCGGGTAGTGGATTCCAGTGTTTATGCTCAGCCCATTCAAACACAAGCACAGTTTGCCTCACCGCTGTTTATGCAACCTGTATATAGTCCTCAGCAGTACTCTATTTACAGCATTGTGCCTCAGACATGGTCTCCAAATCCTGCACCTTACTTTGAAACACCACTGGTGAGTAACAGCTGCTGAGTGATGAGAATGGGGGAGATAGCCCAGCGCATCAGTAGTGGCCTGGAGAACAGATCAGTGGGGTTAGCAGGCTCTGCAGCTGCAGAGTGTGGGGGTTTTCAGTCAGATGGCTCTGTTTTGTATCAGGGACCTCATAAAGCAAGGCTGTGAGAGCGGCAGTGGATCTCACCATTGTCTGCCGTTGTCAGATTTCGGTGCGCAGTTCTGTTATCCAGTAGTTGGTGTTGGTGGGTGAGCTCTGCAGCTCTTCCAGGAAGCAGAGAACTGTGCTGAAGGAGATCTGCTGGTTGTTAACCTGATGGGGTTTTCTCTCTAGTGGTAGGGTCACAGCATGCTAGCTGGAGTAGCTCTGCATAAAAGTTTGTACAGACTAAATGAATAACTGCTGAAACTGATCCCGTGTAACTGCAAACATTTTGCTTTGATGTTCAGCCATTGAGACTGTTCTGTCTGTTGCAGGCCCCCTTTCCTAACGGTGGATTTGTGAATGGCTTTAATACACCAGGATCATACAAAACAAATGCTGCTTCTTTGAGTATAGGTCGCCCATTCCATAGGAATCGGTAAGAAAGCTGCCTCTGTTTGTTTTTGAGAACTTACAGTACTGAGACCCCAAAGTGTTCTTTGCACACCTGTAGAGTGCAGTGCCTCATAATAGGACCAGTTAATTTATTTTATCAAACAATCAAACTGTTTTTTCAACTTGATTTATACCACAAAATAAGGATCGAGGTAGCAGCTTAAAACCCTAAAATAATGGCCATATGCACTGGAGAGAGCAAAGGTAACTCCTTTAAAAGCCTCAGAGGAATTTTTGCAGACAAATAACTTCCTCTTAAGGCAATACTTCTAATTACGTTTGTCATGCACAGATTACAAACTCTGCAGTGCAAACATGAGCTTTTCCTGCTGTGTGTTTACTCCTGCAGAGCCACTCAGCGTGTGCAGCTCACTTGCATCCCTGACTGCTTTGTGCTACAGCTGCACACCTGTGTGTCTGTTACTTGTAGTTTATTTACTTTATCCCCATCTTTCCTGAGAAACTGTAAAGACTGCTCAGATACAAACAGTGGGGAGGAGGGAACAGCTTTGTATTTGCTGGAGCAGTACTCTGTAAATACAATGGAGTAGTAATGTGTTTGTGTGGGTGGAAATGGGTTTATTTGCAAGCTCTTCTGCTGCATTCAGCATGTGGCTGGCAGCGTGGAAATGGAGCTGTGTTCTGTTTGTGGAGTCAGTTGACAGCTGATGGTTCTGTAAGTGTTTGTGTGATGCAGTTAAGGTTTGTGGTTGTTGGCAGGGGATGAACTTGGAAATGTGGTCTCTGGTGACTCAGCAGAGCCTTAATGCCGGCTCTGCAGCTGGCAGTTGGGCTTAGGAGATGGGGCAGCTGATTCTGTCACAGCTGCACAAATCACAGCTGCCATTCTGAAGTTGATCAATGTTGGTTTTTTGTTGTTGTTGTTTTTTGCCTTACATTGTGTTGAAACTTAAAGCTTGTAAAATTTGCTCATTTCATGGGTCGTCTCAGAGGTATGGATGCTGAAAACATGCAAGAATTGTATGTGCCCAAAGATCAATGTCTGGGAATGCCCACACACTCACTGACTTCTTGTAAATTGCACCTGCCTCATCTTTAAGCTTTTAAAACTCTTCTGATTATTTAAAACTTTCATTTGCCAAAGTTCAGTAATTGAGAAATTATAGCTTCAGGGTCAGGTGTGTGCAGGTTCTGCTGGTCTTTCTCGGTTCTCTTATCTTTCCTGCTCATCTTGCTGAGCCACTGTGCTTGTACCAAGCTCTGCTTTCACAGCAATAAATCTTAATGTACCAGAAGCAGACAGGGATTACACTTCAGCAGGACTCCTTAGCGAGCACAAGACTGAAAGTTTGGCCCAGTGATGATCAAGTATCGCGCTAAGAGAGAACAGGTCCAACAGTCGGCGTCTGGGCAGCCTGCACTGCATGCTTTTCCTTCTTTTTAATCTTTCAAGTCACCTTTCTTTCTGTCTGCTTTTTTTTTTTTTTTTTTTTTTTTTTCTTCCCCTCCTTATCTTTCCTTGTTTCTTCTGCTTTGCTCTTCTGCCCAGATAAGATTGTGGCCTTCTCAATGATGGCTAAGATTATGAGATCTGAGGGCTGAAGTATGATCTGAGAAGACTGGGGCCTAAGAACCAGTTCGTAATGCCGCTCAAAGCTGTGAAAGATGAATTAATCTTTGTTTGATGCATCTCCTCTTGAACTGTAGGAGAGTTCATTCAGAGAGGTTCATTCAGCTGCTGCTTTCAGATTTGTCCTGGCTCATTAAGCTTCATTTTTTCTGTCATACAGGGCAGTCGCTAGTTAAATATTGGATTTTTGTCTGTAGCTAAACATTTGTCTAAGCTGGTTGTGTTTATTTTGCCCTGATTTGCTGCAGTGTCCTTGTGGGAAAGGAAGGTTGAGTTTTGTGAGAGAAAGTCCTCAGTGTTAGTGTTGGTTAAGTTAAATTGATACCTTCTGTCCAGCCATCTAAAAGATGATTTAAAATGGCTTTGGCAAAGCAGATGGATTTGCTCACTCAGAATTTGGCAGAGACGAGACAGGCTCTGTTCTGTCTTCTGGCAGGTTGGTTTTCCTGGGTAGTTTTCTGTTTAAGACCTGGAGCTGTAGCACACAGTAACACAGAGTGCGCACAGCCACATCTGGGTTCAAAGGAGATACAGCTTTGATGCTGACTAATCAATAAGTGGGTAAAAGGTCTGGAAAACCACAGTCAATGTGGAGGCGTTTGATAGCGGGAGCAGCGGGGCTGAGATCCTGGCTTTTGGGGAGGAGGGCTCTCAGCTTCCCTGCTCTGATCTGCCCAGGCCTCTTCAGCACATTCAGTCATACATCTGCTCCAGTTTCCTGTTACAGTTCATATTTTTTGCTTGTGCTGGAGCGAGGTTTGTTCTTTAGGTTTCATTCTCCAAATAAGTTGCCAGAACCCAGTGTCCATGCAGCAGGTACAGGTCGGGGTTACGCTGTTTCTTCTACTGTGTCAGGTCTTTGGGGATTTTGTTTTCTTTTGGGATCTGCCAGGCAGTGACCTCTGTTTTCTGCTGACAACGTTTGATGAGACAAGAGGTGGCAGGAGAGCTAGAATGGAAGGAATAGATGGAAGGAAGGAATAACAGTTTCTTTGTTCTCGACAAGTGTTCAGGAAACAAGACTTCTCTGATGGAGGTCCAGTACATATTGACCTCCTCCTTTTTGTCAGCTGCAGATTAACAGTAGGCAGTGGAAACTTTGCAGTTTGTTCTTTAAACTCTGGGTTACAGAGCCTCTTGCCATGTGCCCTGCAGTGTGAAGCCTCACTTCCGATCGTCAGGCAGCTCAGAGCACGCTGCGGAGGGTCCAGCTGCAGCCAGCACTGTGTCAATGGGGGATGGACCACTGAGTAGAACCAGCTCAAGGAATTTTGTTATGGAGCGACATAACAGCACGCTAACGGGGCACCAGGAGCAAGGCTATGCCCAGAAGGATTCTCCTACCGTGCAGATGGAGCAGAATGGAGATTATGGCATTGGCAGGGGCAGGTAATGCAGCGATGTGTTGGAGGTTCAAATGATGCTGAGCCAAGGATCATCAGCCATTGGCACAGTAGACATTTCTGTAAATTGTCACTGGAGAGAACTGACATTTAAACAGAGCATGATAAATACTTAACTGCTAGCACGAATTCCTGCTTGACTGAATACCTGACAATTCTTCTGGCAAATACTTTAAGATGTCTTTATTCCAGAATAACTGATTTGTCTCCAGAGTCGTTTCCAGAACATTTGATGAATTAATGTTGGTATTTGTACTGGCATAAAGAATAAATAAATCTTCATCGATAGGCTGTTGTGAGTCCCTGTGCTACGGGTCCCCTTGTGATGTACTTTGGCTGTAGCTAAGTGACTGAGCAGCTTGTTTTTCCCTTTAAAGGAGAAACATCTTCAGAGGTCGGAGGAGAAGAGAAGATGACCGGATTTCGGTAAGTTCCACTTCCTTTACTGCAAGTCATGCATTTATTGAAGGAGTGGCACAGTCCTTAAGTTCTTAGGTTACTCCACTGGTAGTCACTGCTTCTCAGGAAACGCCCTGATGCTCACTTTCAGCTCTTTCAGTACTGCAAGTCATGACTCTGTTAACTAACAGATATTTTCTTTCCCTGTAGCGACCTCAGCCTTCAACAGAAACGAAGACTCAGACACCAAAGTTTGATTTGTTAGCATCAAATTTCCCACCTTTGCCTGGTAGTACAGCAAAAATACCAGGAGAGCCTGTGCTGGAGAGCAGGATGTCTGATGTAGTCAAGGGAATCGGCAAAGAAAAGGTATCTGCTTAAGTCTCTGGCAAGAGCACAGTAGCTCACCTTGCTGTGTCTTCCTTCTCCCCTGCCTAAAGAATTAATCATTCTTGTTAGAGCTGTGCATTAGAGTGCTTTAAGACCAAACGCTGTGCTGTTTGAATATAACAGCACATCTTCTGTCTCTTCTGGATTTCTTTGGCTTCGTGGGAGTATTCAGTTGAAGCTTCTGTAATTACAGAATGACATATAGTGTAAGCTCAGTTCTGGAGTGGAATAAAGGAGGAAAATGTGGGTTGTTGGTTGTTGTAGGAACAGTTTGTGTGTAGTCTAGACAGGGGCTTCTCCAGGTGAATCCGCTGCTTGAGCACTTATTGTGCGCCTACCCCATTTACTATGGGCTTTATCCACTGTTTCACCCACATAAATGGGGATTGGTTTAGAGGTGCTCCAAAAAGAAACAGAATTCCTATAATCTGGACTTGATTCACCTTTGGAAAAATCCCACTTGTCAGTTTTTGTGTACTGGCATGCTGAGGAGCAATTCAAGCACGTGTGCCATCTCTTCATACTTTCCATCTTCTTTCTGCACAGGAAAGCAAAGATTTGCTGCCCAGCTGTCCGGCTTCTGCTCAGGAGGAACAGATGCACAGCATTGTCCAGCAGCCTGTGACGAGCGTGAGTTCATCGGGTCAGACTGAAGCTGTGGTGTTAAGGTATGTGGCTCACGTGAACGGCTGTGTTAAAATCTGTGTGTTCTGTGGCTAAGACTGTAGCTGACATCCTGCAGGATGGCAGTAATGATTGTGCTTCCTTTCCCCTTTGTGGAAGGTAGCTCCTGTGGAGGCCACGAGATGAAAATAAATCATGGCAGTAAAAGCTGCACCAGTCTGCAAAAAAATATGGCTATGGCTCTGAAGTGTGTCGCAGACTTTAATGTTAAACCGTTCTTGATTTAGCAGCACAGTTCAGCCAGAGAGCAAACCAGAAGTGTCTGTTCAGAAGGATGTTAAAAGCCACACGTCCCCACCTGTGTCTGTCTGTCCTGTCAGCACTGCAAAGCCACCAAGGACAAATACCACCACCACCACCTCGTCTCCTACTAACACAAGTGCAGCTCCCGCGGCGTCGGTGCAGGTAAGGCGCAAAACAGGGATGGAGCGAGGAACGTGGGGAGTCTCCCTCAGGTGTGCTGAAGTAGCACCTGGAGCTCTTCAGTGCAGTTGGCCACAGCTGTGGTTTCAGCACTCGTTGCGTGTGTTCTTGGGACCGCGTGGAAGAGCACGGTGTGGCTATTCTGGTCTGTAAACACCGCTCTTCTCCCTTGGTCCCAAAGGAGCCGCGCAAGCTGAGTTACGCAGAAGTTTGCCAGAAGCCCCCGAAGGAGCCGCCTCCCGTTCCTGTTCAGCCTCTCAGGGAGCTTCGCACCAACATCGTTCCCCCCGCCAAAAACGACGACAGCGGTGCAGCCGAGAGGGCTTCGGAGAAGGCTGCTGACAAGGCTGAAGGTCGGATGAAGGATTACTCCGGGTTCCGAGGCAGCGGGCCGCCCCGGGGAGCTGCGGGGAAAATCAGGGAACAGAGGCGCCAGTTTGGACGCAGATCATCGCCTCAGGGAGCGCCGCGGCGTGTCGGCAAGGAGCAGTACGTGCCACCTCGGTCACCAAAGTAACGCCTGTTCGGCCCATTCCTCTGTTTAATTTCAGCTGTGGACTAATGAGCAGCAAAGGAGACTGAGAAAGAAGTATTCGTGAAGGGGAATACTGAACTGGAGTGTGGCTTGTGTGGAGAAGGTGTGGAGGGTCCCAAAATTCATCTCTGAAAGTGATTTCACAAATGCTGGAGGATTCCAATCAATATGAATATAGAGATTATAATTTTTGTATTTTTGTTTTTAATTTGCAGAGGGTTTCCTGCTTGAAATCTGTTTTGGGGTTGTGAAACTAGCTTTTTGACAAAGTGAAAGATTGTGAATCGGCGAATTAACGTGTCGCTTGGCGTAGGAGGAGAAGGATAAGAGATTATTATTTTTGAAAAAAATGAGCATTTCTGTAAAAGTAGAAGTTTTTTTTTTTTAACCTATTTAACAGTTGGCTTGTAGGATGATGTGTCTGCCATTGATGGCCTTGCATTGCAGAGCGTGTCTGCAGCCCAGGTGCTTGGTCGGTGTGTGAGGTTGGGTGAGTGCGGCCAGGTATGTTGTCACGGCTTAGTTACCGATGGTAAAAACTGAATGTACTACTGTAGTGAACTTTGTGTTTCCAGCTCGGAGTATATCTCTTGACCTTACTAATAACTCATTCAGCAAGCTTTTTAAACTATAATTTTTACAGGAGACTGGATTGTAGGTCTGAGCACATGGACGGCAAAACCTGTCTTGTACGTGCAGTTGGGAGAGGCAGAAGGGAGCGTGTCAGAACTCCTGATTTGACCTTCCTCGCCTCCTCGAGGGCGACGTGGTGGGGTTTTTCATTTGTTTTTATCTCGCTTTTTACTTTCTCTAATCTCTTTATTGCAGGCTTCTGTGCATTTATCTTGGTATGTTTTTGTGAGGCAGACCCAGTATAGATGAGTGATGGACAGCTGCTCGGTCCGTGGCGTTAGCTCCGTGTGTAGTGAGCCTGGAGTTGTGGAGTTGTGCCCCACGGAGCCCTACCAGGCTCAGGCTGGAGTCTGCTCTGGAATAGTTAGCAGCTCAGGCGTGGCTGGGTTTCTGTATGCTGACCTGTCTTTGTGATCTGGAGTAGGGCATGGGATGCTGTATGCTAGAAATCAGAGTTTACATGTACTGGGAACTCGTTTACAGCTGATGCAGTAACAACTGACTTTGAAAAACTGTTCCAAGTGGAGCTAAGGGTAAAGAATTAAACAAAAACCCTCGTGTTCAGAGAAGCTGCTCGAAAGGTAGCATCTGGCCTAGCTGTATGCCGACTGAATTTGCAACACTATTTGTGTAGTAAGTGGTTAAGTTTGAAGGTGATGACCGTAATGACTGAAATGGGAAAACTCAGCGCATTAATCTGCCAAAATCAGCACGCCAGGGTTCAAAGTTCTGTGTGAAGCGTTAGGAGGAGGTTCCAGCAGCAAGAAATCACGCCTTTTTTCTTTCTGTAGCGAATAGCAAGTGTACAAACTTTTAAGTCGTAAGTTGTGAACACTGGAAAACTCAATTGTGATATATACCGTAAACATCTTAGTAATATATGTTAGTGTTGCCATTAGAATGAATGTAAGTGGCAGTTAAAATAACTGTGAAAACTTTCATTTTCTGATTTCTTAGCCAGATAACCCTTGGCAACTTCTTACTCAGTAGGCATTCGCTATCAACTGCTTTGAGAACACTCATATCTATTTTTATAAATATATATATAAAGCCAGAGTTGTCATTTCTCTAACTTATTATTCAGCTTGGCAATTGCTTTGATTTGATTCATAACACAATATGATGTATTTATGCAGTTAACTGTTCATTTCTACGCATGTTATATATATATATACACACATATATATTAAAAAAAAAAAAGAAAAAAAAGAGAGAACCAAACCAAAATCATTACTCACTGTTAAACTACCTGTACTGCGTTTGGGAGGTTTTTTTTAAATTTAGTTAAAAAGAAAATAATAATAACTGTTGATCATGTCTGCAGTTTAGGAATGCTTACAGAATCCTTCTCCATTTATTTCGATAACGCTACGTTTGTTGGAATGATAGAGAAATTTGAATATTTTGAAACGTTTTAAGTTCTGAAATGGAATTCAGAATTATTTTTGATCCATTTAAAGGCTACAAACGACGACTGCAGTCAAACTGGAAAAACTGTGATAGTCACAGATGTGTGGGTAGATGTGTGCTGTCACTGGGGGTTCAGGAAGCACTGGGTGCTCAGTGCACCTGGTAACCATGTAGTGCTCCAAGGTGGAATCAGAGCTTTTAACAATTGTGAAATGGAATTTTTTTTAAAAAAAATTATTTTATTACTTGTGGGGAAAAAAAATGAACTGCAGTTCAGTGTTTCTTGAATGGTGATTGGGAAGACTTGACCGTGGAAAGGATGCTTTGTGTGTCCTGGATGTACATTTCCCAGCAGCAGAGCATGGCTCCTGTACAGTGTATGCGAATGAGTCTGTAAACCCGTTGGCTCTTCTTTTTTTCCCCCCAGCATATTAAGATTTTGATCAAATTAGAGCACTCAATTATTTATTTAATACTTATCTGCAAGGATTTAACATTAGCATTCCCCTTCCTCTTCTCCCCCGCCATTGATATTGTTGTTTTCTTTCCTAATCTTTTGTGCATTGGGGGAAATAACCAAGTCAATGTAAAGGCTGTGAAAACTATAGTTTTGTGTGCAAGTTCTCCTGCAGTACTCGTATTGCATGGCAAGCGTTTCACTTAAGCGGGCTAGCTGCTACGTTCTCATCCCTGTAGTAGACTCAGGCAAACTGCTGTGTGTGCCCAGTTCTGACAGGCTGGGGGACACAGGGACAGAACGGTGACGTGAGCCAGGCTGATTGCTGGGGCAGCTCGTGGCTTTCATTTGAGTCACATCGCTTCATCGTTAGAGGTGAAACTGTCCCTTGTTCAACAGTGTTAGAATGACCCGCCGTGACACAGCAGCTCTCAGCAGCTCCGTTCCACGCGGTGTGAACACAACCCGTCCCACTCTGCGGATGATCCATGCGTGCAACTTTCATGAACTGTGAGCTGTGTTCAGCATTGCTGACTTCTGTTCCCTACAGAAGTGTGCTTCCCCTGTTTCAGTTCTTTTCCAAATGATTGTACATGGAAAAGATCGGGCTGCTCTCTTGCATTTTTGCTGGAGAGCGAAAAGTGGAGTAATTATTTGCATGTGATAGTAAAAAGTGCAAATTTTTTTTTTTCTTTTGATTTCTAAAATTAAGTTAGTTTTATAGCATCTTACATTCCTGCTATATTTGTTTTTAAAAAATAATAATAATAAAAAAAGTTAGCCTGGCACAGTATGATGGTGCAGTTTTAGCAGTAGATCTATAAAAAGAAAAATAAAATAAAAATGTAACCCACTCTATTAACCAGAAGAGAAAGGTGATACTGTGGCAGATCAGTAGCAAATAAGTGACTTAATCGATGCTTTACTGTAGTTCAATAGCTATGGCCTTACTACTTTGTCAATATCAGCTTAATTGTCTTGAAAATGTCTGCTATTTTTACTGTTCCCGGGGGTGTCCGCCTGGGGTGAAATATCTGATATGTACAGATGATATTTTAAATTTGTAAAATGCACCATTGTATTACAGACGATGCAACAGAAATGCACTTCGGGGGGAAATTGCTTCTGATGAGTTTTTTTGTAAATCCTCGATGACTACAGATATGCAATAGAATTGTTGTTTTTTTTTTGTTTCTAATTTTGATATTTCCTTCTGAAACGTAACGATTGTTGCCATTAATCCGAATGATTTCTCATGCTCTTTGTGTGTATATATTACCTATAGTCTGAGCTTCCTTTAGGATGGTACATAGCTTTGGTTTGTTGTATTTTAGTTAGCTCTTCTCTAAGTGCCTTTAGCACAGGCACTGCAAGAGGCTTTTGGAGTCTGTTTTTAATGTACAGTTGGGAGGACTTGAAATGGAGTTAAAGCAACTTATTTCTGAAGAAAAAAAAAAAAAAAAGAATAAAAATCCATCCACAAACTAACCTGTAACAACCTAAAAATTTTATATTTAAGAAACCAGAGGTTTATTTTTATGGAGCTTCAGTTATGGATACAGTTTCCAGAAGATGCAATTTCAGCTATAAACAGACTGTGCGTAAATGGTTTTCTTCTTTTTTTTTTTCTTTTTTTTTCTTTGTTACCCTGATTTTTAGAGGAAACAAAAGATTCAGATAATATAGTGAGCTCCTGTGAGTACGGCCCTCGTGTTCCTCCCGGATGAATCCAGCTTCCCCACAGCATCTCTGAGCTCCTCGTAGGGCAGGGCTTGAGTGAAAGGAGAAAAAAACACCTATCTGGCTTCTATGTCTGTCCTGGTCTATTCCTGTTGTCAAAACTGTCCAAAAAAAACCCCCACAAAATTGTGTCAAGTAGGTTCCATGCTTTAAATGTTCAAATGATGATACTTGTATTTGTATTTGTTTTTGACATTGCCAAGGTGCTATGGGAAATTGAAATAACAGTTATAGAAAAAAAAATAATAAAAAGCTGATTTAAAAGGAAAAAAAAAGTACACACACACAAAAAAAAAACCAAACCACCACTAAACAAAAAAAACAAACAAACAAACAAAAAAAAACAAAAAAAAACCCAACAACGGTCTCTCTCGGCGCTGTCTGTTACGCGCGTGGGGATCTGAGGGGGACAGGGAGGCGGGAAGCGGCGGCTTCGACTGAGGGGCGCAGAGCGGGCGCGGGAAGCGGCGGCCCCCGGTGAGGGGATGGGAAAGAGCGGGAAGGCGCAGCCGCGCCTGAGGGACTCGCGAAGCTCCGCTGTGTGAGGGATGGCGCCTGGCCACCAGGAGGCGCTGCGTGTGCGGGGGGAGGCGGAGGGGCTGCAAAGTGGTGACGCGAGGTTCGCGCGCCGCCCCGCGGTGTGACGCGGCGCTGGGGCGGCGCTGTAGCCAGCATGGCGGAGGTGGCGGCCGCTCCCGCTGCGCCCGCGACCCGCAGCCCCCGGCGCTGAGCCGGAGCCGCGCCGAGCTCGGCGGCCGGGCCCGCCTTTATTCCCCTTCCCTTTCTCCCTATCCCTTACCTTCTCCTACTCCCGCCATGGCCGAGCCGGCGGCCGCGGGTATCTCCTCGTTGCCTCGCGAGGTCCGCGAGCAGCTGGCCGAGCTGGAGCTGGAGCTCTCGGAAGGTGAGCAGCGCCGGGAGCCGCACCGCCCCGCCCCGCCCTCGGGGCGCCGCGACCCGACCTCAGGGCCGGGGGGCTCCTTGTGGGAGGGCTGAGGAGCGGGAGCCGGAGGAGGGCCGGGCCCTGAAGGGGTCCTTTACGTGTGGGGGGGGGAAGACAAGGGAGAAGTGTGTGAGGAGGAGGGCTGGGGGTAGATCTATGTGTGGAGAAAAATAGCTGGGGGTCCTAGGGGGGATGGGGGTCATCTTTGTGCGGGGAAAAAAAGGGGAGCGGGGAGAAGGGGAGCCTTGTAAGGAAACGGGGGCTGTGCGGGCCGCTCTCCTTCCTTGGCCTCAATTCGGCGCCGTGCGGGCCGTGGATGTGGGGTGGGAGGGACTGACAGCAGTGCGGGGGCTCGAAGGGCCCTGGGGTAAAAAGCAGCGTGCAGCCGGATGCGCTTTCAGCCTCTGAGTTCTTTTCCGTAGCTGTTATCAGGGCGACGCGCGCACTTTTTGCTGAGAACAAAACCTACCGAGTTTGTTTCCCGTTCTGCACGGCCGTCTTTGTTTCCTGGAGCTCACGGTGCTGCAGAGCTCTGGGTGTGCATTGCCAGGAGCCCATCGGCGCTCAGCTCGGTGCCACAGCAGTGCCTTATCGGGAGAGACCTCACAGGTGCATTAACCCCCCCCATCGTTAACAAATTGACTGTCACTTTGTCCCAGAATGTACAGAACGTAAAGGAGACTGTTTACAGCTGTAAAGATTTGAATTCCTTCTCCGAGCTTCCCGTGTTGGTATGCAGTGCTCGGTGTATTGCCGGATGGAAAGGCAGTGGTAGTGCTTTTCAACACTGGCTGTTAGTAGTTGGGCTTAGTGCTGCCTGTTGGCTTTTGTGAGTGTGTGTGTGATTTTTTTTTATCCAACTTTTTCCAGATAATGCTTTCTGTAAACATTTAACGAAGGCGATAACCCTAGCTGGTGTTTGGCTTGGGGTAGTCCACGCTAACAAAGAACTGGAGAACATCCTCTTCACTCACTAGAAATAAAATGAGAAGTAATTGTTGGGCTTTGGAAGAATTTGCTGAACGTTTTTAAACGTTTGCTTCTATTTTCTGCAAGTTGTTCCATGTGATACTGAAAGACTTTCATTTTGAGCCGCTGGCATGCAGCACTGCGAGCTGTGCTTGTTAAGGTCCTTTTGGTAGAAGGGTCAGCTGTGACATCACGCTAATCTTTACAAAGCTCCTAACAGCTTCAACTTCCATGCTTTGGAGCGAAGTTTCCTGTGTTATGTAATTCTGTGAACACTAAATCCATTACTGCTTCATGGATTTCATATCCCGGTGTTTTAACGTGCGCATGACGGGTTTCTGTGTGCCAGTCTCTTTTCCTATCAGAAGGCCTCGAGTGCAGCTGATGGTGTTTGGCCCTGAGATAACCGAGGGGACCTGTGAGGCAGCGGGGGGTCAGTGGGGTGATGCCATTTAAAGCACGCCCCGGTTTGAGACTTCAGCATAAGGACTTGAAGGTGAATGCGTGCATTGTGAACTGGGTGTAACTACGGAGCTGTTTATAGTAAACAACATTGAATGGAAGGGTTTTATTAAAAATGGCAGCGGTGCTTGCTGTGTGACTGATTAGCTCTCGCTCAGGTAAGAGCACTTGATCCTTCCCCCCTCCTAACTGCAGCTTCATTTTCTCCGATTGGCTCTTGTGTGCTCCGTGAATGTTTCAGTTGGGGTTTCTATGCCTCTCTTTGGGAACGGGAGAGGACCTGCAGGGACCCAAATTCAGCACCCCTAACACAGG